TGGGCAAGCACCAGGGTCCTTGTTGCGGCTGAACCATCTGAGCGATCGATGAATCAATCCGACCGGTCGGCCCACGCAAATCTCCTCTAGACATTTTCACAACTGGCGGTTCTCTCGTTGAGCCACGTTAGAGATTGAATTCTGGAGGAGAGAACAAACATTATGGAATAATGCATTGTCCCAGTGTCATCATCGCCTGAGTATTTGCATTTCGAATTTCCCGCATAGGGCATGGTTCCACAACTGATCCTCTACCAACACTTAAGCAGCATCGAATTCGGAACCTACCCTCCTCTTATGCCGGCCCGAAAATCACGCGACCGGTTGGATTCATTTATCGATCGCTCAGATGGTTCAGCCGCAACAAGGACCCTGGTGCTTGCCCAGCTAACCCGAGCGAGAAACCACACCTTGTTGACAGTCGTGAGTCTTAGGCAGGCCCAGTGAACTTCGACTGCACAACAGGCGTGCCATCACCACACGGCTAGACTGGGTGTGACAACTAGAGCATTACAAAAAGTACAAGCCGATAATCGGACAGTCTAGCGTTCAGGTAGGGGATTCCAAGTGCCGTAAATGGCGAAAAATGATCCAATCAGATTGCAGAGAGCGTCAGAGACAATTTACGGGTTCGAGGTCAGGGATGAGAAGGACAAGACGATGTGAAATGATGGAGTAATCATATTGTGGTTGGTTCTCGGCCAAATGAACACTATGGGACCATTCAGAAATGGAACTTGTGGCTGATTGTAGGTTACTTGTTTTAATGCATCACCAACAACTACGTCATCCGCATATTTAAATATGAAAACGCATTGATAGTGGAAGACCTAATACCAATAAGGTATGTCTTAAACAGTACCGATGATGATGAAATGGACCGAAACTTCCATTTTTCTTCCTTATGTTTTGGAGTGATGCCAACATCACGCCATGTATCAACTAGTCTACCTGGCTGACTGTAACAGCCTTCCTGAACAAATGCAATACAAAACCGCTGATGTCCATTTTTGTCGAAGTATTTTGCATTTCTGCCGGGTGATTATCACACTTCAGGCTTAGAGTCCCCACAGTGGTCATTAATTGTACGCTCAGTCTGCTTGGCAAACGCGATTTTTTGAAAAAATTTCCGCTCTTTGTTTTCGTAATTTGTCGATGTGCTTTATGCAACAGTACTTCTTCTGATGAATCACTCTAATAAACCAATCGACTGCGTTCTACTTTGTTCAGTGCTACTGACTGATCCATGACTGGGCGAGCTGCTGTTAAAGCATAACTGGTTGTGACCGCTGGTGTGATGGGAGGTGGTACAAAAAGAGTTCCGGCTAGCGAGCGAATCAAGAATAGGGCCGATCCAACAAGGTGCGCAGACGTAGCGGTTGGAAGTATTTTGCGAGACAATGTTGACTACCACTCGAAACGAACGAATCGTTAATTACAGCTCGACGGATAATCCGCATCTAGCCAGAAAGATATCCACCGAATACCACAACGCCGGAGCTGTCGATCAACGTATCTCGCGCTACGATCGGGTCAAACCAGTCGGAACGGCACGCGGAAGAAGAGGCAACGTGCTTGCCAAGTGCGGACCAAAACCAACAGGAATGAACCAACAGAATGAGGCATGAATCATCCTGCCGTGCGGTTGAGAATTGATTGTGTACAATCGAACGCATACATCGGTTGTTTTTTAATTGGATCCATAAACGTTTGCCAGCCGACTCGCCTTCTCGTTACACTAGGACTGATGAAAAACAGCTCAGTTCCCAAAGCTCAACTCATGCCGCCGAATAAATGCCGAAAATTGCATCGCTCGGAGTACACCGTAAGCATATAACTCGTGCCTAATGGTAATTACTGTGGTAACCTTGGATGATCGAGCTATCGTCAATGTCGGAGAAACTACGACCGGTTGTGCTTTAACTGTAGCGCGAACGAAACAGTGCGCCACCTTTCGTACTTATCGAGTCAGGTCTCGCGTAAAGCGCACCGCTTCGCTGATCGACCGAATTGACCTCCGTCAGCGAGCTTGACAAGATGCAAGACTGAGGCCTGCCCCATTTTAACACAGAAAGAGTGTGGGAAGACAGGTTGTAGATCGGGTAGAGAAAAAGGTGTGATCAATTGACCAATGAGCTGCGCTGAACGGAAACCGATCCCACCACCGCGATTCTTTTTTAGTTCAAGTGATAGTTTCTATATCAATCTACCTGAACTTGGTTCGTTTTCTCACCTGAGCAAACGAGGTCAACGACTCCCGGTTTCCGTCAGTCAGGCAGAACTTCGAAGGCATGAAAGTTCCGGAGAGGAGAGGGGAGAACAGCTGCACTCGCCCTCCTACCCGCTTCCCTCCATCCCCTTACCACTGAAACCTTTATCCTACCTCGGGAACCCATTCTATTTGGTTTGGGAATTAGAATCCTTACGTTTGCGTTCTACTATCTACAGCTTGCATTTAGAGAGCATATCTAAATTGTTTTACTATCCTTTTTTGTAGTTTATGGCTCCCGTTATGCATCTCTGATCTCCTCTCATTATTCAGCAGGGAAATAAGTCGCATCAGACTATCTCCCAAAGTTAATTATTTCCGATAAAATGAACGATAAAATACCAGAACCAGAGACAAACTGCGCTTGATTCTGTGATAGTTATTAGGTCCAATGAATAAATAGAGATATCATTATAAAATTATAAAATAGGAAGGGACTTTCTTTTCATTGTGAATGTTAATATCACAGCGGTGTCGGTAGAAAATTATATTAGCCGACGTTTCGGTTACCGTGGGTACCCTTTCTCAAGGTAAGTTTTACAATCAAAAGGTTACCCACGGTAACCAAAACGTCAGCGAATATAATTCTCTACCGGCATTGCTGTGTCATCACCAATATAATATTTACAATAAAAACAATACATGGTGCATCGATTTTTCGATACACTCTAAACATCATTTGGTCCCGAAGTGGTAAAAATGCTTTCTTTTAACTTAAATCATAGAACAGCTTTCTTGGCATCACCACCACGTGGGCAACTGCAAAAACACGTCAGAAGAATGTAAGAGATCAATCCGAAACTGGTCAGGGTGCTAGTTCGCAAACGCCGGAGATCCTGTATTTCCCGAGACGTTTGATTTATTGTTTCAGCTCACGTGCACATGGAATCTCTCATTTGCATACTGTAGCCGAAGAAGTAAATGTTTCTGAAAGCATGTAAGGAGACAATCAGTAAGATGACTGATTCATCCAGGATGTATCCCCTAGTGCCATAAAGCACAATTTCTTTAAGAGAATCACACTGAAAAGCATTCCGTTCCCGGTGCACTGAAAACGATTAATACATATAATTGTGTGAGCCCTAATGGTGAACAGAATAATATGGATTTTTGTTCCAACTATGATGTTTAGCGAATTAGATAGCCTTACGTTTGAATTGTGAAAATTTTCTTTAGTGGGGTATGTGATCCGATTCGAAATGATCAGTCCTATCGCTGTGGCTGCGCAACTGAGCTGGCAGAGTGAGCACCGTATCAAAGAGTAGCGTTTCTGTTTGTCGAAACCTCCTGTCCGAACAGCTTCACCGGAAGTCTGTCTATCCAATTAGATACGTAGATAACACCACCTATGTTGGTCTCATAGTAAAGCGAAGAATGCACTGTTCATTTCGATTGTGCAATGACGCGAAACAGGTTATTAACTAGGTCATTGTTGACCACTTAGTTGGTACAGTTATTAAAATGTGATCAGGAATCCAATGCATATGGCATCTTTGCAACTTTGTCACTGGTGATATCAAAACCATCTATCGATTGCATCTGAACTGTATGTAATAGAGGCTGATCAATGCACTTAAGTTCAATGATCACTAAGGTGTCGGGTGGACTTGGCTTTGCATACCGGATGCAGAGCGTGAGCTTGGTTTTTGCTCGAGATCTCTTTCAATCTCATCTTCGGTGATGCTCTCGAAGTAGCCCCTCTCATGACCTTCACTGTAGATGAAACGAAACAGACCTCGAACGTGACTGATACATGCTTGGGGATAAACTGCAGGAGGCTTGAATATTGTAATAGGTACGAATTGCACGGAAGAAAATGAGTCATGCTCAAGAGGTTAGATCTAAATGGAACGTATGCATTAACTACGACGGGGTAGAAGCTAAAACACCTTGTTTTTGTCTAACTTTTTGAAACTCTTGCTTTGACTTTTACCCGCACTTATTATTCCAAACGGTAGGTTTGAATTTAATTATTCACGGGAACTGTTTACTGTCTAGCTAGTGCTCATCTTTCAACACGAAAGTACTAGGAGACCTATTACGAATAACAGTTTGTATGAAGGATTATGATGACTGGTTATGCCATCCAAATTAGCCGAACGGAAGAAAAACATTTCAGTGGAACATTATTGATAACAAGTTCTGTAATCGTGACCAGGTTCTATGATCAATAATGTTTAGCTATTATCGTATTTATGATATAGTTTTTTATCCGTTTGATCGATATTGCTCTCAAAGAGAACAATGAGTGAGTAGCAAACATACATATTGGTGTTCAATTCTATTGAATATCTTACACTGGTTTCAAGATTGCCGCGAATCGGAGCTGGAATCGATTTGATTATTTGATTGATCAATATTTTGCCCTTTTTATAGGATCCACCGTTTGTGGTTAAAACACAAAATGGTTGGACTGGATACAGTGTGGAAGTGTTTGAGAAAATTGCCCAGTCGCTTTCTTTGAGTTATGAATTCATTGAGCAAGAAGATGATATTTACGGAGTCAAACTGCAAAATGGTCAATGGAATGGGATGATCGGACGAATTGCGTCCAAGGTACGTTAAACGTGAGGGGACTGTACTGCTATTCAAACATTTTGAACGTTGAGTACTCCATTTATCAGTACATCAGTGAGCATGAATTTCAAGAATTTGGCTACTGAAATACAGGAAAAGATAGTCAGTCTTCTATGGAAATACGAACCAAAATGATAAGCTTCGTATGAGGTCTGTAAATACACTAAAAATACTAACGATTTGCTTGAGGTAAACTGCTTTGGTTGTCGAAACACACCGTTGCCATCGCACAATATCGAATGAATTAGAATGCCATGTTTACATTCCTCAAATAGCATGCAGATGTCGGCCTGGGTCCAATCATTCAAGACGGGGAACGGAAAATGGTTGTCGATTTCACCATTCCTTACTACGATTCAGCCGGTTTGACAATGTTGATCAGTGACAATGTCGATCAAGCACTGGGACCGTTCTTTTTCTTGGAAGTGTTTACCACGTGAGTTTATTCAACATCACATCCCAAATGGCTATGTGCTTTGGTTGTAACTCAAATTAGGCAAGTGCAAACAGCAGTACACATAAATCGCGGGGTGCTTTTGAACTGAATGACTATTCTCACATTTTGCGTCCAGTTTGAAAGTTGTAACTTAATTTCATTATATACCTTTCGGAGATCGGTGGTATCAGCTCCCGGAAGCGGAGTTCGAGTGAAAATATTTTCAGTGATTCTTGATCATCACGTTAACTTCCATACATTAATGAGAAATCTAGTGGTTGGGAGGATGACATCGGTATATTTGGAGTGGATCTCTGTCTGTATGTGCTCATCCTGTTATCAGTTGTATGCTGCTGAAGTTTTTAGTTATGTCACGTTGACCATGTAATCTTGTTTCGAGAGTTTGTTATTATCGTGTGAATATGTGTATGTGTGGTAGGGATGAGGGGCGAGGTAGGTTCTGAACCCGGTGGAGATAAGGGGCCTGAACTGCACGCTTCTATTCTCGTTGTTCCGGGGTTCAATTGTCTATCAAAGTTGGTTTCGGCTCTACATAAAGCACAAAATTCTAACATGTCAGGCCAATTCAGGGGGAACTGATAAATAATCTTGAATGAGTTACTGCGGTTAAAACCGTCTTTATTCTATCCAGTTATGTAATTGGGTTATTAAATAAATTTTTTACGGAACGAAAGATACGCAATCGTTTCTGAGCTGCTAGTGTTAGGCTAATTTTCAAGAACAATACCCCGAAATTACTCACCATACCTTGTACTTTGGCTGTTACACAATTTTATGATACGCCAGTCTTCCGCAGAATGTTCAACTTTAAACCAAATGTCCCAGTCAGTTTGAGCATCTACGCTCTAGATGCCTTTGCCGTACTGACTCCATACAGTTTACCTGCACTTTATTGAAATGTAAACTTGTGGGTAGCTGTCTATTGGATTACAACAATGCTTTTGGTAGTGTTTGGAGAGGCAGACAGACGTAGATTTTCCCTTCTTCGATATTAGCGTTCACTGAACTAGTTCAGAAACAACCAAAAATTGAAACGTTTTATTTATTTATTTATTGATGATTCCATTAACGCATCAACTATTGCAATGGGTCTAGCACACCTGCCCAGCCGGAATGAACTGATTTCTCCTTAAGTGAACAAAAGTACATTTTCTGTGGGATTCAGTGGGTTGGGGTGGAGCGGAATGGAGGGAGTGAGAGTTCAACTGGTCTCTCGTCTCTTTCCGGAAGCTAAACGCTTTTGACCGTTGGCAAGAATGACGGAACCCGGGAATCATTGACCTCGTTCGGTCGGGTGAGAAAACAAGTCATGGGATTGGACACTAATCTAGAGCGAATATTGACGTGAATCGTTGCATCAGTGGGTTCAGTTAAGATCCTCATTAACCCAACAATTATATATCATTGAACCCGAAGATTCTTCGAAAACTATTAAACCAAGTGCAATTACCAATAAACATAATGATAAACACAATAATAATCACTATTTCGCCTCCCTTTTTGTCTATTATGTATACAAATCTACAACTAACTTTTAGGAAGGGGGTCGTAACCGTGCAAACGTTGCCCAGGGAAGTACAAAACTGGCAATCTAACCATAAAGTACGCCGACGATGCAGCATAGGAAGTACTCTATCCTGATGAAAGCTTTATTTAGAACGCGGAAGAATACGTATTTAACACTAAGCATCAGACGAATGACTCGACGGCATTTTCTTGGGAGCATTCGATTGGTTTCGCGGCTTTTGCCTCTCGTCAGGTAGGCCTTCATTCATCCAATTTTAACCAAGAAGTTCATTTTCGTGACAATAACCCCATTTGCAACACCGAGTAAATTTCCGTGGATAGCACTTCAGGAACCAGTCCATTTATGTGCTGCTAAAATCAGTAAACGGGATTCGAGGGTCTTGTTAGAATATTTAATTGTGTTATTACTGCACTGTCCAGGTACAATCTAATAAACTGACGTCAGCAGTGTACTGTTCCCAGATCATATCAACTGTATATGCCGCTCGATTTGTTATTCAAAACCATGGGGTCTGTTTTATTTTGAGGGTAATAAAGATGGTTGAATCCTGCGGATTTGAACTCGCTTTGAACGTTGTTCTCGAGCTTATACATAAATATATCAGGGAAATTTTGTTGAGTCATTCACATAGTACTTATTTTAATATATATGTGCTGTCACGCCCTGGCAGACTGCAATTCCTCGCTAACTTAGTTTCGCTAGCTATACGCACGATATGGGCAGAGCACGACTACGGACAGCAGAACGAACTCCAATAAAGTGGCAGTGTTTGTCGACACTGGTATAAATCGTGGTTCTTTAATCATACAGTAATAATATACAGAAAAAGTAACTTACAGCCAGGTGAGTCACCAAATTACAGGGCAGTAGTAACAGTCCGTGACAGCAATGGTAAGAACAAGGTCTACCCGGCAGACAGCTTAGCGTAACAGTAGCACAGCAGTAAAATTTAAATTGGGAGAGTTTGTGGTATGGTATGAAAAAGAGTTGCATTTTCCGATAAAATTTCAGTCAGCCCGATACACCATCTTAAAGCTTATTTAGAAAATGACATGGTGGCTTCCGTCGTGTACCAAGAAACCAAGCGCAAACTGATAATCATATGCGTACAAATCCGCGATCGTGCCTCACTTTGTCAGGTTCCTGTGTAACCTTCGATGAGTTTACCATGAATCGAAAACTCAGGTCGATTTACGTCCAGTTATTTGTTTTTCTTTGAAGCTTTTAATCGATTCACTATTATGCTGCTCTAGTGGTTGCAGCGTCGTCTGCTGCTACTGTTCCAGCTGCTTAATGTTCATTTCCGGATGGAACGGAGTAAATACCCGATTTCTTTTGACATAACCCAGATGCATGTTTCTTTCATTNNNNTTCATTCCAGTCCCGTTTGGATTTGCTGTGTTAGTTGTGTGGCTGTTGTCAGCGTACTAGTCTACATCATGGACAAGTTTTCACCGTACAGTTATCAGAATCAGGCTGTTCTGAAAGACGGTCCTTCGGAAGGCACTATATTTACCCTGAAAGAATCTATTTGGTACGTCCTGGGAGCATGCACACAACAAGGTAAGTTAAATTGGAAGAATCATTCAATCGAATGACAGAAGTTTGACGGTATTTATATTTTGTTAACCGTTCTTCGTCATAGACAAGCACTTTGTTGAGCTTCCATTTTGGGGACCAAACCATTGTGAGGTTAGTGCAACGGTTAATCCCCTGCATCTGATATCACCATTCACTGCTATTTCACATGCTGTTTGGTGCAAGGTTTAGTATTACTGCTAATAAGAAGTTTTATTTTCATTCAGATTTTCGTGGCAGAACTTTGAAGAATAAGTTGTTTGATTAATATCCTCACTCAGAGATTTCTGATGGCCGTCAATTGTAATACAAGCGGTGAAGCTGTTGGTTCGCAGTGTGTGGGATCACGAATTAAACGATCGTATACAGTGGGGATCTGGAATCAAGAAAAAATCGCAATAACACAGATGGACAGTTAAGAGGGGCAGGACGGATGAGCTTATTGTTAAAACACTCTGATCTAAACTGTTTCCCGCATCGGATGTAAGTTTTATTAAGTATCATACTGTCCCTGGGGGAGAAGGGCCTGTTGATGACATGTCCAGTTTCTTGACGAAAGTCTACGTTCTTGCAAGAGCACAGAAGAATCTTGTGGAAATAAACGTTGACTGCGTTGACTGTGGTCTAAGCTGCTCTGTTACCAACAGAAGTACAGTGATTTAGTCACAGTTACGGTTTTCTGAGTGCCTACAAGGATTGAAATCAGTGAAGTCACAACCGAATCGGTTCTTCTTTTCCCCACAGCGCTCAATGATAACCACAAATGGTCTCAGAGAAGCACCCAATTGTACAGCCTGTATACTCTGATTCACAGAATAAAAGAGGCAGAGAGATTGAAGCAGAAACTGCGGAATCTGGGTCTCAGTACATTTCGGATGTAAGATTTCTCATTCTGGGTGAAGCCTTGAATTCTTAATTACGTGCCTGGATAATTTCGAATACCTTGTCTAAAAATTGCTGAATGCAATCATATTGCGCTACCATGCGCTGTAGCCGATAATTTCCCAATGCCATGGAAGTTGTGTGTGATGACCAACAAAGATCTAGTTGTGAATTGACTATGGTGGGAAAATGTACCAAATTTTGGGGACCCAGTGGGTGAGGAAAGTTAAAATCACCAACAAATACCCACAAAGAGTGGCTTGTTTTTGGTATGTTGGAGGTAGAAAAGATATCAGAAAAGCTATTTAAATCAGCCGCTGATATTGTGAGTGACAAGTAAAAGTTTCCAAGACGTATGGAGCGAAACCCACTAAAAAATGGGACTCACATTCGATGACATGCCAACTGATTTTATCCGTTGAGTATTCGTAGATGACGGCGGTTGATTTACTCCAGTTGTCTCTGACGTAACTGGCATCACCTCCGCATCGTTTGCGGACCCTCGTGGGACGATCAACCCAATGCAAGTTATATCCATCCAATTGTACAATTTAACTGGGGATTGCTTCGTGCAGCCAAGACTACCAATCCCTAGATGTTTGTACTCTTGCGCGTGCGTGCGTCTGCTAATGTAAGCAGTCAAATGAGCATCCCTTCAGTTTACTTTTTCAAATTCAAGTTTGCCACCCATCATAAACTCAGTGCACTCACCAAAACTTGAAGTAAATCCATTGGGGCCTCAGGTGGCTTCGTTTTAACTTCAATCTCGTTCGCTCTGACTTGAAGTGGATCCATCAATACCATCGTATCTTTAAACAAACAATGTGGTTCACGATTTGGCAGTCACAATTCATCTTTTGGACGTAGTTTATCAAAACGTTCATCCATTCAAACCGAATATATACATCCAAAAATAAATAAAGATATATAGTGAGGGAGTTACCACGTCAGGATGAAGATTTTGTTGATACACCTTTGACCGCTGATCAGGTAAGCTTTGGACTGAAATGATCAACCTCAGGCAGTCGACCTCAGCCGGTCGGAAGGAAAAGATAGTCATTGTCAAATGGATCATTAAATCGGTCCGGTTGCTGATGCATAATATAAAAGCAGTTACACCGATTGGGTTTATCTGGGGCCCTCCAGTTCAAGCAGGAAACCACCTCAATGACTTAGCGAGCAAAATTCCTTTTAGATTGCGTTTATCTTAAAATCGATTAGTCATTTGAATCACTTTCCACTCCCTGGGTACTTTTGGTATTATAAAATGCAGCTGATAATACACTAAGTATATATATATATATAAAGGAGTAGCAATGTTTCCCATGAACAGCTAGATTTCATATCGACACATGTATTCAGCATCACTATCGTATTGAGTATTGCATTTAAGCAATAACGTATTACATTTAGTATTATTATTTTTACATTTACATTCAGTATTACATTTCAGTTTAATAAATGCAAAGAATACCTCCTAATCCCACAACGTACTGAAACTATGCCTTCTGTGAGTGAGCAAAGGAGAATTTTCTGTGTGCATCCGGTCTTTTTCTTGACCTCAAATGATACAGCGACAACTCACCAGGTATCACCACCATGTTTGGCCGATAGTATGGCATTTTTGCGGTGCAGTGGGTGAGACTGAATGGTAGCTAAACGAGAACCAACACATTATGGTAACAATAGATCTGGTGTTTTAATGGAAACAATTACGCTATTCAGTCAACGGTTGTCTTATTGTTCAGCAGGTATGGTAACTGGAAACTTCTTCGAAATCGGTTCCCCTATTTCGTTGTTATCAAGATTGTTGTACTATGCTTGGATTAAATTTCGGACCGAGACAAGTGTGAAACGAATATTTAGTGCTCAGTAAAATCATAAAGATAGCCAATCCATTCCATACTAGGTCGTTTGTAAAAGATCTAAGAAGTACACTTTGGATGTAACTGGACTCGAGTATATTATCAATGAACAAATATGTGAAACTTTAGTACATAATGTGCTACAAAGGATTGGTTGAAATGCATGTCCAATAGAATGCTACAGAATGATAGAGTTATGAGTATTCAGGAAAAAAATTGTCACTCGATCCAGGGATTGACCAAAGGTCATCGAACCATAATGCCCTCGCAAGTGCGAATGGGTTCATCAGAGATAGAGATACCACTGTATCTCTAACCGGGGTGCGTAATTTCAATCAAAAGTAAATACAATTCCTTCTCAAACCGTTTACAGATTACATAGGTAACATTAGAAAACAGATCACACAGTTAGACACATCACCAATCATGAGTAAGAGTTTGTCATAGTCAACTGGCATTTGTTGACTATGACAAACTCTTACTCATGATTGATGATGTGTCTAACTGTGTGATCTGTTTTCCAATGTTGCCTATGTAATCTGTAAATATAATTGTACTTCGTGAACGTGCCTTGCCGCTTCAAGTGACTCTGGAAACGATCGATGAAAAGGTCTTGTTGTTTTTAATGCTCTAAATTCATTTTAGGTAATCTCGGTCACACTCAAGGAAGGTATCGCAGATAGCAAAATAATCGCGAATTGGTCTGTCTGCGTTGAATTCGGAGCTAACGTAAATACACCACGAAGGCGAGAATAGAAAAGGGATTGCAGTTTCCTAATGGAGAAATAAAGCTGTATGTCAAAATGTTGAGTCATATATGGGAAATACTAACAATGAACTAATATATAACTGTGTTCGAGTGGCTTACAGTTGACTCTTCAAAGTAACATCAAACGAATCAATCGGCATCGCTGAGATAATTCTACACCGTCCTCATGACGAAAATTGTACGTACCTTAACTCCGCTATGGCCATCACTAAAATTCCCTAATGCACCATCAGAGTTTATGAAATGCGTGTTGACCACGAAGGTCACTTTTCACTCCCCCACCCCTGAAAGCAGGCCCATTCCCTAAACAACATAACACATTCATCGGTATCTTGTCTGCATCGTTATCATGACAGCGATCAGAGGACTTCAAATCATCATACGTTTCTGTCATAGCATGATGATCATGATCATGATGCATTCAAAAGAATCATTTTCCCCTTCCTTTGACTCACAACTGGAATCATTCTGTGTGATGAACAACATTTGGTCATGATAATGGAATTATTTAGTTTAATCAGACTGAAATGAAGCCGTACCCCATTGGAACCTTCCGATATAAATTATGATGTATTACCAATGGATATTTAACCGAAAACTAGTTCGTTTCCTACTTTGTGATTTTAATACTATAACTTTAACGACACTTCGCATCTGCCGCGAATTTCTTTTACAACACTTTAGTTATGTTCGTGGTGGTGTGTTCTCCGAGCTGGGAGTGTTGTTCGCAAACGTTTCTTAGCCATGCTAGGCAACAGCAACAGTGCAAATTCGGGGATGATTTGCCTAACCTGGCTACGCAACGTTTGTGAACAACACTTCCGGTTCGGAGAACACACCAACAATAACATGACTAAAGTGTTGTAAAAGAAGTTCGCGGCAGATGCAAAGTCGCGTGAGCGAACGGGAACATTCGCATGCCGAGCAACAATCCTTCCAACTTTATTTATTTCAGTAGGCATGATAGTTTTTATCTATGGTGCACTAACTGTTTTATTTCATCCTTATCAATTCTTTCAGGCGAAAGCTTGGATCCTCGTTCAATATCCACCCGAATACTCATCACTGGACATTGGATTTTTGTTGTCATCATGGTGTCCATGTTTTCCGCAAACCTCTCTGCGAGACTCACGGTGTCCGGACTGAAGGAGGAGATCAAATCCCTAGAACAACTGGCTGTTCAAACAGATGTCCGCGTAAGCGTGTACTGAATTGATTTCACGTTAAAGTAGGCACTGACCAATCAAAGCGGAATATGCTTCATATTTTGTATAACACATTAAAGTGACGCTGCTCAGATGATTCAACAGTGTTCAACATGTTCAATGACTTCCATGGTGCTGTATGGGGTTGCGAGTACCGAGATACTGAACGCAGAAATGGAATACTTGAATCGAAGAGTACATCACTATTGGAATTCCCAAGTATTTGAACACTAAACTAAAGTAATGAGAAACGATCAGGATCGGTTTGAAGTTCAGCCATATCCTTGTGACTTAAATGGAATCACCAATGAGGATAATGTAGACTGATGCAGAAACACGTGGTAATGAAACTTGATTCGCATTTTCTGTTAGTTGTCCAAACAGATTAATTATTTACTTTTTACGGTATATTTTATGATTATAAAAATAAAACCCAATCTACACAAAATTCTTTCCACCGTGCATGATACGGAAGTCCATAATGAGGACTACCAACACAACGGGGGAAAATATCAGAAAAGGATAGATCACGGGCGAACGTGTGCTCAGTGATTTCATTTTTCCTAACTGTCATAATCATGCATATTTTAGCAAATATTGAAAGGATACTGTGTTGGGATCAAACAGACGAGGTAAATTAATGGAAGCTCAGGGACAGATTTCTCCCTGGTACTCTCGTTCGAATACAAATGGGTTACGCAAATGCCGCAAACTGATTCAGGTTATCCTTTCACTGTTGCGTGATGTGATCCACTTTCGACCATGAAAGTCTGAGCGTATGAAGCAGTGTTTTTGTGCCCGCAATTCTGGCTATACCCAGAAGATAGTAATTGTCTCGGTTGTTGCAACCGTTCTGTTCCTAATAGACTTATGAAAAATCTCATTCAATCATTTGTATAATGCCAACAGTCGGGCTCGGTGTGCAGTTTGCTGAAGTAAGACAAATGTGATCCATAGAAAGTTATCGAATCGTTGCAATGATTCTTTGGGGTTGATTCGAATCGGATTAACTCCCAGAGATGTAAATGAAACTGTGTTGTATAGAAAACAGTGTACCACATTATGCTTGTAGGTGAGTGACAAAACTGTGGAAAATTATGTACTACCCATTCTATGTGGACTTTTGGTGCACTTCCAATTGAACGATTGCATTTAGAGTCTCGTTAAATTTCCTTTAATCAATGAAAAACTGGTTCTTTTAATCCTTCTCCACTATCAAACCCATGTCACGTTGACCCAAATGTTTCGGTGATGTCCCTCACGTAAGTCGTGCAGCAAGAAAATCATCTAAACGCTTCAAAGAACATCATCCAATATGACGTTGAAACAGGGGGTGGGGAAGGGATGGAGTTATCTCGTATTACATTGTTGTGCCTTCAGTTGAGAACACGAATTCGACTTCCACCATCAGTTAACAATTTGTTCAGCACAACGCCAAGGTTATTCAGTGAAAATGTTTGCAACAGCTCATCATCTGCTGGGTAAAGCCAAAATTATAGGCACAAAAATCACTGATTCAGGAGTTCAAACTTCCCTGGTCGAAAATGAAACCGTAACATAATAACCCAAATCGACTGGCAACGGTTCCATTAATTGACCCATTACATATTTTGTAACGGTTGGTGAATAAATAACCGAAGACATGTTCACCTACATTCCGTGTACAGATTGCAACAGTGAAACAAACTAATTTTGGTTGTTTTTCATTTGCATTCAATCTGTCTTTGGAGACGAAGTAACTACTACGGGAAAGAAGCATTAGTAGTGTTAGGTCAACAGTTTCTGTTCCTCATACCTAACGTTTCAGATATGGATGGTTCCTAATGGTTGATGCTTATTCTAACAATGCGAGAGGAGACCGGGTCGGTTTCTAATGGTTGACAAGCTTTTGCAATGATGTGAAGCTTACACTAAAATGTATCTATATTTAGATACTTTTTATTGAAATCAAAGTTATTGCAGTCAAAACAAATCCAGGACGTCTGTTACCGACAGTTTCTGAGCACAACTCATTGGTACATATGCGCGGACGGGGATGTATGACAACGGATTATCGTGATGAAAGAAAAGTCTAACCAGTCAGTGATTAGAAAATTTTACCAACATTATTATGTACATATGCAGTTGATTGTTTACTTTGTACTGCAGCAAACACACTCATGGAGTTCAAGTAAAGTCAAGTCAAGTCAAGAAAAGCTTTATGCACCCAAAGGGTGAATTTTCAGCAGTTTACGAGTTTTATAGTGGATAGATAAAACAATTGCAAACAAAAAAGATAATATAAGAAATTGTACAATTTAGCAAATGAGAGAACAATTAGGGCAAGAGTTTTTCCATGAGGTGCGTGAGAATATTCTGACGATTTATTAGTAACCGAGGTAAATATTGAATCACACTGTTTCGATGTGTGGAACTCAGAGCAGGCAGGAGTTGATTTTTGGAGCTAGTCCTGGGATTCGATAGGGCTTTCGCGATATCTTGATGATCACGTGTTATCCGTTCAATGAATGTATCATAAGCATCAAGATGCTTGGAAATAAAAAGAAATCAACTAAAAAAACTCTATCAGTTCCACTGTAGCGGGACAAAAGTTTAGGGGTTTGGAAAATAAACTGAAGTCCTTTTCTTTCAGTCCAGGGATAAAAATCGGGGAGCAGTATAGCCGGTGTGGAAGAATGCAGGCAATTACAAATTTAATAATAAGATTATATGGTGCGATCAGTTTCCTAAGTCTGTAAGCATAGAAAGACAGTTTTCGAACTTTTGTGAAAACCTTGATGATATGAGCAGACCAGGACAGGTTATGGGTAAGGGTGATACCAGGGTATTTAACAGATACAGATTTTGGAATATTTTGCTTGTTAATTCTAAGA